TATATTAGAAATAAAATATGGCGAAAAAGATGTATGTTTAAAAAAAACAATGGCGCTTAAGGACTGCAGGCAAGAAGTGAGGCTTGCCATATACTCCGAACAACCAATCGTGCGCAATAGAAAAAAAGGCCTCCTTTCAATGTACAAAACACAAATTATTTCTGGTGCACCAGTCTAAAAGTGTACCTATACATATAATTCTAAAAACAAACGCATCATAATACCAAAAAAAAAAAAAAAAAAAAAAAGACGCATTTACTTTTTGTTATGAATATATTGATTAAACATCTGCTCTATGAGAGTTTAGTTGGAAAAAGCTTGGGGTTTAAGTTACTGATCGATTTAAAAGAAGATGTTAAAATAATTCCATTTTTAAAGGTAACACGATACCAAATGACGTTACGTTATGAGTTATCGTTCCTAACGTCATTGAACAACGTTCATAGATACCAGTCAATGCACCAGGTTCCCTCGTGTTTCGGGCGGTTGACAACACAATACATGTAGGCCCTTAACACTACTCATTTGGGGCCCATTATATCTTGCTGTTCGGTGTGAGCCAAGGCTCCGTGTTGAAGGCCGTACTTTGACCTATAATTGTTTACTTTTTACACATTGTGACTTGGATGGAGAGTTGTCTCATTGGCACTCATACCACATCTTCTTATGTCAACAGACGCTGTTCTTTTATCGTGAAAATAAAATAATAAAATAACCTTTAATTTTTGGTAAACATTTTTTCATTGTAACTTTGCATAGATGCAGAATGCCGAGAGATTTGATGCAATACGTTATTTGACATTGATTGCTTCGATCGTCTTTATCCCATTCTTATTCTCATATTTTACATTTGAATATATAATTTTTTTCAAATGTTCTGTATCTGTTAATAAGCAAATATTGTGCGATTTATCTAAATATGTTCTTATGTATAACAGGCTGAGTTTTTTTTCTGGGTTGAGTTTTTTTGCAATAAATTCTTATTTATGATGCACGCCGTTTCCCGATAAATTTATTTTTTTTAAGTAGAAATCAAAATTGTAGAAACGGAGGATAATATATAAAATACTGGGAATTGTCCCACTACTAGTGCAATTTCGTTAAGAAACCCATTAGTTTAAAATAGTTGCCGAAAAACGCTGCTAGCAAAATAGAAAAAAGGAAATTTATTTGGAAAGGAATACGGATATAATTTAGCGAAAAAAGCACCGTACAAGCAGACATGGAAACTCAGACAGAAAATGGTTTTTTGGAATGGAATAAACAAAGAAGAATAGTTGAACTTTGTTATTTGGCCGCACAACTTTCCCTATTTTCCAAGTGTAACCTGTTTAGGCAAATTATTGGATTGTACATAAGAAATCCGATATGGTTTCGGAATCTTGTAAAAAATAAGTTGCCAGCACTGTTATCGTATAAGCGCAAGTTACACAGGACAGCAACATTGGAATGATGAAAAATTTAACAAAGGCTTGAAAATATGGGATGTCAACACTTAATGTGCACCCGGTTGGACGAAATAAAATTAAATCATTCAGATCCCATTACATATTTTTTTTCATTTGGAAACAAATTATTTCTCGAAATTTACAATCAAACGATTCATTAAAAAACCAGTAGCCCCACAATAAATGAATAGTCGGTGCTTTGATGAAGGTAAACCCAGAAAAGCGCTTCCAACCAGACAAATTATAAAGAGATGTTTTAGTTAACCTATATAATTCAAACGACAGAAACATACTGAAAAAACCAACGAGATTTGAGATTCATATTAATTTACGCTTGGGTGTGTTTTGTTGTTTGGGTTGGACACGATGTGCAAGTACAGATGATGAAAAAATGCACCATTTCACAAAGTGGTGAGACAAAAACAACTCATCAACGATTAACAAAGGTGCCTTTTTGGGGGAGAGGCACATTGCTGACATAAGGGTAAGAAAAAGTCCGAGGGTATTAGCAGTCTTTTAGGGAGATTTTATAACAAGTACATATACAAGTATGTATGTTAAATAAAGTGTTGGTATTTCTTTGTGTGCATAAATGGAGATGTGGGATATACAATAAGACAGCAACTGGCCAATTACCGACACACAAAACCAGACATCTAGATAACACGTGACAAATGCAGGATGGACGAGTATTTTTTTACAACTTATTTAAGATTTAGTAAAGAATCGTTGGTCCCTTGAATTTGAAAGTTAATAAGTATGTTTTTTTATAGCAAGTATGGAATCTATCAAATTATAACATCACATATTCACAACAATAGTCAGTTATCAATTATAATAGTTACATATGTCAGTCTCCTAGTACATATTTGTTACAGTCTTTAAACTTCTTGTATTTCAGAAGAAAACTCAAACCATTATGAAATAAGGAGATGTAGTATAATTGCTAATGAGACATCTTTCCATCAAAGACAAAATGACGTAGATGTTAGCTTGCTTACATTGCTACACTTGAGATCTCCCAATTACCATTCCACTATGAACTGCTTATTCAAAAAGATATTTTGTCACCAAATGCCTTATTTTGGTCCCTCGCAGAGTACATAGTCCGGCTTACTCCTTCTACATGTACAATTACATGCTTGAACTTTTATATTGCAACAAGTGTTTTACTTATATGGAGAGTGCATATATATTCTCAGGATTTTTTATTGTATAATTTTCCACGAATGTCAAAATGTTGAACTTTGTCTTTTCAAGTGAAATTTTGCATACAGTTTGCAAGGTTTGTCCGATTAACTACGCACACAACTCACACGTTTACACTATACAGAGTATACTATATCAAGAATATGTATTTTTACAAGATATTGATTTTATATATAATTTTGACCACTAATAGAATGTTTATTTTTTTTTATGTCTGCTTTAAATGTGTCTTAAAGACACAACTATTTAAAATTGTATTGTATCGTCTTGAACATGCATGAAATATTTGCCACCGGACGTTAAACAACCATCAACCAATCAATTCAAATTGTACTTGAAAATCATTGTTTACTTAATCAAATTTTTGAAGCACTTTATTCATGCATGGAAGTATCGGTGGCATCACCTTTGTCTAGTTTGGTAGGGTTAAGTTGAAGATTCATTTTTTTATAGGCTGAATGTGCGCCCGATTAGGAATAAAACTAAATCAGTAGAATTAATAGAAAATTTACGAAACCGGACAGGGGAAATGAAAACAAAATAACAAACACCATTCAGATCCCGTTACATATTTTTTCAATACCTCTGAGTAAAAATAACGTTATTCTGTATTCAGTAACGTCACCTTTTTCTGTCAAATTCTTTGCATATCGATCAACTTTGAAGCAATTTATCTGAAAACAAGGATGGTGACAAATGTGTTTCTATACATGTACGGATTCAGTTTACAATCCTTGATATTATGTTAGTTTTTAGTCTTTCTCCGTATATAAGAACATAGCCATCCATTGAATAATTCAAAAAATAAGTTAAAAAAAGGACATTTTCCCTATATATCTATGTAAATTCGTTTCCAAAATTGACGTTTTCTTATGAAAATTATAAAAGATCAGAAATAGTGACCCCCATTTTTTATTTCATATTCCGATTAAACTCGAATAAAAGAACAAGTGTGCAAAACATTTAAAAATCGGTAGATATGCAATTTGGTATCTTGTTACCTAAAGAGCATTGAGTTATTAGATATAATCTAACTATTATTCTCACCTAATACTGTATTTACTAAGTTGATGTTAGCTAATGCCCTACTTCAATGTTAGATAAGTGCCATTAACATTATGTGTATTACAGTTGGTACCTCCAAGCAACCCTCCAATTACATATATGCCCCCAGTCATGTAACACGAAAGTAACATAAAAGTCAACGCATAGTTATTTAATCAACATTAATACAAATACAAATAACTATCAGCATGTTTAGCACTCATCCTTAGTAATGCTACTGTGAGAGCGGATTGGAAATCGAACAAAAATGTAAAGCGTGCATCCATCAGCAATGTAATGTAAAGCATGGCTTGGATCTCAAAACGGGACCAAGTGTGCGGGGTCTGCAAAGGAACCATGCGCTACCGCGTCAAATTTAATACATTAAAAATACAAATAAATTCGACATTAAGACCTCAGTCTCTTTATACAGATGCCCTACGGTTGGAGGGTAAATATTCAACGAAATGGCATATTAAGCATAAACGTTTTTAAATACAATCCCAAGAGTAACTAATTAAGGTCTAACTGTAGTTTATAACTCCTCAATTATACTTTTACGGAATTTTTGTAGTAGTATTCATATCAATTTGACAGTGGTTATTGTGTAACAAATACATAAGGTTTTTTTATTGTAAATTATTTTATTACACTTCATTTGTTCTAGCATTGAACATGCACATGTAATTATGATAATTATAGACCTATAACAGTTCTACTGTGTCCTTCAAAACTAATTGATAGACACATAGCTGTACATTTTTATAAATACATAAAGAGTAAAAGTTTCCTGTTGAGTTCACAGTCAGGAGTCAGACCTATGCATTCATGTGTTACTGCACTTACCAAACTTATAGATGATTGGTAAACAAGTATTGATAATGGAGACATTACTGGAGTTATATTCCTAGATTCAAAATTGGCGTTTGATTTGATCTGCTAAAAAAAGTTGGAGATTTATAATTTCGCTAAAGATATTCTTGAAGGTTCACGTCTTATTAATAGCAGAGATTGCAAAAAAGTTAAGATGTTCAAACACATTATCTGATGCGAGAAATATGAAAACCGGTGTCCTTCAGTCTCTAGTCTAGGACCAAGGACAGAAATCAGACACAATGACAATATCTGACAAATTAACACTGATAAACAGATAAAATGTATCTATTATTTTTTCTTAAATTGAAATAATATAATTTTTGTTTATTTTGTCTCTTTTCTCGAATTGTACATGTTAGCGGGTCTTTCGAAAAAAAAATAAAGATTTTTTTTACAATAGAAAATATCCTGTTCTAATTTTAGATGGAATGTCCAGAAACTTACTCTTCTGTTGTGTCAAAGATTTTATTCTGGTGGTATAATCCGTAAGTTATAGCGCTTTATGTTAGTTTGAAGTTATAATGCCTACGCTTTACGTTATTTAGTGGTATAATCCGTAAGCCATTACACTTTACGCTGTTTTGATGGTATAATCCATAGGGGGGGGGGGGGGGGGGGGGGGGGGGGCCCTTTTTGTGGGAAAAATTTGGTTCATTATATAGAGAATCACTGAAGCATGACTGGAGTGTCCCCCCCCCCCTTTAGGTCAGTCAGCGGGCCCCCCTCATGAAATTTTGCAGTTTTTGGTTATTATCTTGAATATTATAATAGATAAACTGTAAACAGCAAAATAATTCAGCAAAGTGAGATCTACAAATAAGTCAAATGACCAAATTTGTCAATTGACCCCGCAAGGAGTTATTGCCCTGTAAAGTCAATTTTTCACAATTTTTCGTAAATTTTTGTAATCTTTTACAAAAATCTTCTCCTCTGAAACTACTGTCAGTGTCAAATTAAACCAAACTTGGCCTAAATCATCCTTAGGGTATCTTGTTGTCTTATTCTTATCAAGATGGCCACCATGGCTAAAAATAGAACATAGGGGTTTACTATAGAAGCCAATGGGAAAATTGTAAAAAAAACAATTTCAAATGGTCACAACTTGAAAATTAATTTAAATAATGATAAGGGTTCTTGAGTTACTATTGTAATACTACAATGAGATGACCTGCTTTTAATTTAACTACTGGGCCAAATTAAACCAAACTTGGTCTCAATCATTATTGGGGTATCTAATACTATTTATTATGATTTTAACCTTATTTTACATGATTTCCAAAACCACAATAGATACAGGTGAGCGACACAGGCTCTTGTGAGCCTTTAGTTTCTTTCTAGCAATGATGACACAGTGAACGAATGGATTTTTTAACTATGCTCAGTTTATTATAAATTTCATGATAAAAACGTACACTTTTAACAAGATACAAATACTTTGGAAAGCCAAATTTGTTATTTTAGTTGCGTATCCGCAGAAAAAAAACACACTTTAAAAAATAAAGAAAGTTAGACATACTTTAAAATACCGATAAAAATCGATATCATTGTTGGCCATGTTGTCTGTTTTAATTTGTCTTGTGCTTACCGATTACCCCCTTGGTCTCTCCTCTCTCTTTTTAAAGTATCATGAATCACTTTCCCGTGAAAAATACTACACCAAGGTTATTACTTCTGAGAACATGTATGATTGTTAGGATAAGCATCTAAATCCAGCCAAATGTGTTTTCCTCTTATAGTTGATGTGTTTCCCTCGGTTTTGGTTTGTGACCCGGATTTGTTTCAGTTAAATCGATTTATGACTATTGAACAGCGGTATACTACTGCTGCCTTTATTTATAATTGTATTACAGTGTCGTTACAATGTGTTACAAGAAGACAATAGTCAAAGAAGATTTGTGGGACAATTTACCATGCCTTAAGGCAGAGCCAGTTGTTGCCGAAATACAGGCATCATGGAGAGATGAAGAAAATCGTTCAACACTGGATAGGTAATTTGAATTCCAATCGCCGCCTACTTTGATTAAAATCAACTACACAACTGGAAACCGAAGCAAATATTTTACCATTTTACTTTCATAAATAAAAAAGGAACCTTGTAACGGGTTTGATTAAAATTTAAAGCTTTTAAGGGTTAGCATCATATTGAACTATATCTTTAATCATATTTCGACCTGGTTAATTCTAGCTAAAATGATAAATACAAAGACCGATAATAATATGTGTCTATGTAGGAATTTAATTGTTATGACGAATTCTTGTTAAATATTAGAATTGCTTTACAACACGATTCAAGATTCAAGATTCTTTATTTTTTATAAAGCAAGTTAATGGTAACAGAAAAGGCCATTAACATTAGAAAATATATACATCCTATACCATTACTGTATTTTCAGCCGTCAATTTGCTGATAAGCCTTCGAAGAATGGACTTTTTAAAACAGGCTATTACGAAATTGGAAAAGAAACCGTTAATCTGCAGAAGTATGACCATTGTCAAATGATTCAACCACACATAAACAGTAGTGTAAATGATAGTAATCCAACATTAAATGGCAGAAGCTGTAAACAAGAACCATCGTTACTGAAATGTGTGGTGAAACTGTATGGATATGAATGGCTGCGTGCTTGTTTTATTCAAATACTGTCAGACGCTGCAATGCTAATACAACCACTGATTCTTGCGTGAGTACAGTATATGTGTTAACTACGTTACTAATTTCACACGATAGTCACGCTTGAATGGTATGCGATGTACTTTTGTTATATTCAAGTTGATTTATTTTTGATTTGGTAAAACTGTTCATATACATGTATTGTATTGAGCATAGGGATATACGTAATATAAACTTTTGATAAATGACAAATTTTCACAAAACAGTCGATTATGGTAGGTGTAAATATATTTGGATCTTTAATATTCATAAGCATCAATTTTTCCGAAAAAAATCTACAGAAAAATTAAAGATTGATCTTTTAAAGCATTGATCATATCTGCCCCCGGCAACAGTTTTTTTTATTCGTGCTACTACAAATGTTAATAACTGAGGTGTATTTCTTGCTTGTATTTATTTATATTTTCTTTCACTCATTTGTGAATTAAAATTAAGGCATATTAATTATTTTATTATAACACGTTGGACACGTCGTTCATTAACACCCCCTTATGTTTTTACTAAAATCACTTGACAACAGACTTTACTTTTTGATCTTAAATCGAAATAATAAAAACTAAATTGTGATTAATAAATTACACCATAATTTATATTTTGCTACATGTATATACAGTAACGAAAACTGATATGTTCGTACATCTTGTCGATACTTATTTGTTGGCATTGCACAAGGTCATGCTATTTATCACGTCCATGCACTAAATCTGTTGTGTACCGATTGATATTTATTTTGGGAAAACATTTTTTTAATCATTTAGTTTTAATCTGCTTTGAACTATCTTTCAATTGCTACGAGTACTCTTAGATCGATTCTTTGTGATGTGTCAAACCCTTTCCAACTGTTTTTTTACAGCTTAATTGTTATTATGTTGTGCTGTTACACTACTGTGTCAGATTTTGGGAGGGTTCACCGCTTGCAAACATGTTTAACCCCGCCATATTCTGTATATGCATGTCCCCAAGTCAGCAGCCTACAATTCAGAAGTTGCAGTTAGTTGCTGTATATGATAGGCCGAGGTTTTGTCTCGTTTGAATTGTTTTACAATTTGTCATGTCGGAGCTTTTTATTAAGGACTACGGTATGGTATTTGCTTATGTAGTCTCTGGTGGATAGTTGTCTCATTGACTATTATATCACATCTCTTTATTTTATTTTTAAAAGAGCCAATATTTCAAAATATTGTTGTTATGATTGTTTTGGTTTAACGTCATAAATTATGTTAAACATATTGTCCATGTGATATATTCATTATTTAAAGACTTCTATGTTTTATATGTAGATTAATAGTGGAGGAAGTCCAAATAACAGATAAGTATACCTGGTATAGTGTCGTACTTGCGATACTACTGTTTCTCCTTTGTCAGCTACAATTGGTGTTTTATTTGCACGCAGAACAGCTTACTCTTAGACTTGCATTGAAAATCAAAACGGCTTTAATGGGAATGATTTATAAAAAGGTATACTATACTAAATGAAAATATAAATACAGAAAAATAAAGAATAGATAAACATGGTTGTTAAAATATAAAGAATAGAGAATACAGGACTTAGTTTAGTATATATGCATGCATTGGTTCAATAATTTCGATAAGATTAAAATTACAAATTACAAATTCATATGACTGATATTGAAAAAAACGTTTCCATCAAATGCATCGATTTGTTATATAATACTATACCGAAACTATAGCCTGAGTCCTCTTTACATTTATTATTTAATGTAATTCAACAGAGATTGCAACAGCCTTAAGGCTAATAGAGGCTATCTTCAACAAAACACACGACATATATACAAAGTAACTACAATCTATGTTACGTAATGAAAGAATTATGATTTACACATACACATATATTCATACACACAAGTTCGCAAGCATATGCACAACCAGTTAGAACTTTCCACTTTTACAAGATAATAAAAACAATGTCAGCTATATCCATATCATTTCATCGTTAGCAGAAATTATTACTATTTTACTTATACAGCTACAGTTTAAAGAAAAGTAAATACAATTAGTTACATTCCCATCTACTTTAAACTTTATGACTTTTTGTGACAAGGAAAACAACCTGTAGTTTTATTAACTAAATAATTAATTTCCAACCATTTCAGACTTTTCAAATAAAAAGCAGTGAGAAAAAAACGTATACGGCTGGTGAAATAATGACTTTGGTCTCCGTGGACTGTCAACGGATTCAAGATGCTTTCCAATTTACTCAACAACTATCATCGTTTTGTATTGTGCTTGTAGTTGGTCTCTATGAGTTGTGGAAGCCAATGGGGATATCATTTCTTGGATGTCTTGGTGTTATTCTTCTTATTTTCTTCTTGAATACAATTTTTGGAAAACTACTGCAAGGTTATTTTGAAGACATATTCATGTATAAAGGTAGTAGAATAAAAATATTCAACGAAGTCATGAATGGAATCAAGGTAATTTAATTGTGTGTAGTGTGCGAACCATTACCAGTAAAACTATAAAATTACATACTTATGCGGTTGGATGTGAAGCTCTGAATTGTTCGTTAATCGTAAATTTTATCAAAACTTTAATCTAAAATTTCAATTTGGTTTCAAGTTGTTTGGAATTTTTATATTTGAATTAAAATTTCAAAATTTCAAAAAGTGAAAATAGTTGAGAATTGTTGATACATGCAATCAACACTTCCAAGTGAAAATAACACTGTTTTGTAATCGAATATGAGTTCGAGTTGAAGTTTACATTCGTTATTTATGTGTGGTTTTAAAAATTGACGATCAAATGAAAAATTCAAATGAAAGTTCGACTCAAATTTGAGCTACTCTTTTTGACATTGCTTATGTTCTAGTTGAAGGTCAAATAAAAGTTTTAGTCAAGTTCCAGTTCGAATTGAAATTTGAAACAAAGTAGAAGTTACGAACAAATTGACCTCCAATTTGGGTGAAAGTTCCATTAAAAACCCTGGAACAAATAGTTGAAGGCCGATTTCAACTTCGAGTTTCAATTTGAGTTATTTTTTTACTTAACAGTAGACTATTTTTGCCCGAGTGCAAGCTTTATTCTGAGTGAATATATCCATATTAAAAAAAAATTTGAAAATTTGATTTCCGTATTGAATTTAAAAAAATAAACTCAAAGCCATGTTTATAAATTTTATGCCATAAAACGTTACGCTGAACTTTACATACTTTATGTATTTGATTATCAATATTGTAAATGAGTTGATACCATCAAAATCATAGAAAATCTTAATATCGAACTGTGACATTTTCTATATTGGAGATCATAATTTTAATAATTCATATATCTTACTGATATCACATATTTTTCAGCTGATTAAAATGTATACATGGGAGCCATTTTTCCTTACAAAAATAGAAAATATCCGACGTAAAGAAATTGATGTACTTAAGAAGATATCGAGAGTTACAATAACGAACTTACTGTGTGTAGATCATAGTCCATTTTTTGTAAGTATCATTTATGTTTATATAGTGGTACTCTCTCTGTAACTCGTGAATAGTTTTGCGCATGCTGTAAATTCTATTGATTAATATACAATGTAGTATCCTTGGAGAAGACGATCTACGTTGGACTAACTTGTGTCTAATCTTTTTTGCAATATTTTTAAAGTAAGCAAAAAAAACTATGTTTTAACTTATAGCTTCGAAATTATCAAATCTATCTATGTAGCATTTTGAATAGGAATTATTATTTATCAATGTTAAGCTGTATCATTTCTGCTTTTTTTTTGCAGACTTAAGTAAACATATGAATGAAAAACGGTTCTGATGCACACATATATATATAACTTGACAATTGTCATTTGTTTTCAAGTTTTGATACTATGTTTGTTTTTGAAACATTTTTCGTTCATATTCAGGAAATTTGACAAAATATATTAGAACTTATTTTGGTAAAAAGAATAACATGTATGGATGTTTTATAAAACTAAGATGCTAATAAAATATGTATTCCAAGGGGAAATGGAAAAACGTCGAAGACGTCAACACCGTGACAAAAAAATAAGATGAATAGACTAACAAACGTCCACAAAACACAATACATAATAATAAAGTTTGACTAACGCGAACCATACAAAAAAAAACCTGGCATGAACTCGTTTGTCATAATTTATGAAAATGGTAATATCTTTTACAAATTTGCCAGAATTCAGGAAGACGCATGGTTCAAACTGATATATAGTTTACATTATGCAGGTTGTTATTGCAGAAACATTTAAGCTCTTACAGGCATAACATTTTTTTGCGCTTATTTACAAATACATTTTTTATGCACTTTTGAAAATAATTTTGAAAGTCTATGACGTCATAAGTTAAGTTGACAAGTATTCATACTAGGGTCTTAATCATTAATGTAAGGACATTGTATTTTACTGTTGTTTCGTCTGCAAATTACACCCTTTCAGATCATTTTGTATTCCGTGTTAACAAGAATTACTATCAAATTCTGATTTTACGATACGCTTAAATGTTATAAGTGGTGTCTCCTTCCTTGGCATCGTCCAGGTTTTACAAAAATGGACTGGCAGAACAAATTAATTTCCTTGGTTTAATAACTAATCAATATACAATAAAATAATGCTTTATTTAAAAACACTCTTGCACATACACATTTTCTCTTTTTCCCTGTCGTTCCTTCGGCATGTGTTATTTTACATGCACCACTCTGTATTGAAACATGTGTAGAATGTTAATTACAATACCCGATATTAAATGAAGTTATAATTATTGGTTGAATAGCATTATTTCTTTTTTTCATTTTTGTTTTTTTACACATTACTCACATACGGGTATAATACTGTATGTATAAGGAATAAATGTTGCTTATTTCAGATGAATTTGTTTATGGTGCTTATATTTACCTTTGTATCACAACAACCATATACAGCAAAGAATGCATTTCTTGCATTGTCCATAATCAATATCTTGAAATTTCCTTTGAACATCATACCGTTTACACTTGGTGGAATTGCTCAGGTAATTGTTACCGTTTATCCGTGGTGGAATCACTCAGGTAATTGATTTCATCGCTTGCATAGTAAAGTTGGCATATCTGAATAACTATTTGTAATCGTAAGTCCATAACTTCAACACAACAGAATCCCACAAAGCCAGCAGGAAATTAAGTTGCCAGTTTCCGTGCGTTGGCATTCTCTTCTCCTTATAATCTTGTAAAGCAGAAAAAAATTTATATAATAAAAAAGCATGGAAACCTATATGGGTGCTACTTATCTTTTTTAATTAAACACTACAAAAAGACACTCAGTAGACACTAAAATAAATAACTAATAGGGAACCTAGATGTGCATATGCCTATACCAACTCAAGAGCCTTGTATTTTATTGCCTCTAGTTTTATCTCAATTCAATCTTCCATATGTGCCAACTTAAATTTTCAAATAGTAAAATTATCTACGATCTAGATAAAAATTAAAAATACGATTCTTTATGTTTCAAGTATTATTAAAATCGGAATTTAGAAATAATATTTCGTTATAAGCAGTCAGTTTGGCCCAAATTTGTCAAAATAAGCTCAAAATCATCGCTGATGTATTGAATCCGTATTCATGTGACCTTCAATTTAACTCTTAGCTGGAGAAAGGTTACGCATGAACTAGGCATGTTCAGCTATTAAATCGAAAAGCATGTCACCATTGAAAGTGAAACAAGGGTGAACCATTTGGTTGACTGATTCGATCCACAAAAAACATTTTTATACAGGTAAAAACGAAGATTAACATATGTTCTTAACCTATTATATGTAATCAAACAAGCCTAGAAAATTCCAATAGCACGTGCTCGCTATCTATTTATATGTATACTTCGGGTTATATGAACGTCGGCAGTCTTCGGAGGTCAACTCGATGATAAATTAGGTGGCGTCTAGACTAAAATACACACGAAATGCGGTTACATAATTATCATCGAGTCCATGCATTCTTAATTGTTTATTTTAGACTTTTTGTAATTTGAATATAGGTTTTAGTATGTTATAAATCAAATATGATAATTTTAGTCAAATCGGTGAACATGAAACTGACTGCTAATGCCCCTTTAAACGATTTTCCATTATACACACCTCTGCGTGTGACAACTATGATATATTTCTCCATTGGATAACCTCAGGAATGAATATACAGTGCACGAGATTATGAGTGTGTGTATGTGTGTGTGTCTTATAATTTTTAATAACAGTTTATAACATAAATATGTTGATGTATGTGTCTTTTAGGCATCGGTGTCAATAAGAAGAATAGGAAAATTTCTCCAATCGCCTGAAATAGATGACTATAAATGTCATGTAAAATCTCAGTCGAATTCAGGTAAGTGGCAGGTTATGAACATTAATTTCAGTTATTTTGATTATCACAGAGTTCCGAAGTGTTGCCGTCAAAGTATGACATATTCCACCAATTCATAGGAACTTAGAAACATTTTTTTCAGTATATATGTATTCAGTAAATCGACCCTTTTGATTTTTAGTTCAATGTATACAGATTCACCACATACATTTTCAGAATCGAAGTACAAATTAATCACGCAATGATAACACAAGAAAGTAAATAATCATTTTAATGATCTAAATTATAATTTTTTGTTTAGAAGTGGTGTAGTTCAAAGTCTTAATTTTCATTGATTTTCAGTGCTAAAATTATACGCTTTTCGTAAGAGCGATCGAAATTCATTTTATATAACATGTGATAGCCAGGGCAATTTTTCTCCAACTGTATTAATTATTCATTTTCGTTCCAGACTTTGCTGTCACTATCAGTAACGGAAAGTTTACATGGGACAGAAGTTGTAATCAAGTAACACTTTCAGGGTAAGTAACAAAGGAGTAATTACTTTCAGGTGAATTAATATAAGATAGAAGCCACAATATATTTCTAAGGTAAGTTATATACAATAGTCATTACAAAGTACTTTCATGTTAAGCTTTACAAATTAAGACGTCAGTAGCTTACCGATGTTCAGACCTCGTAAATCGATTAGGAAGATGTAAATCAAGGTAAAAAAAACAACCTGCGGGAATCGTATCAACTCCAAAAGGAGCGAGAGTGTGTGTGTCGACAGTGTACGCGCCTCCTGCTATGCATGCATCACCCGCAATGCAAATTCACACTCCGTCATCAAGTCAAAATCGGCAATAGGACAGAATCGGTAAAATTACAGATCAGACGACCTGACTGGTATCTAAAGATATTAGACCGCGAAAACATATCGCTCAGTGAGTTGAAACACCTACACATCGTATCGGTCAACTAATTCGTGATAATGACCATAAAACGTATGTTGTGTCGATTTCAGTCGTTCATCTTTCTGAAATACCAGATATTTCTTTCTGTTAACACAATTTGGACGATGAAAATTAAGTTCCTTTATCTAAAAAATCCCGATCCTCTTGCTGGGTATCATTTCAGTGAATGTTCTTTTCAATTACTAGAACTTTAATGTGGCGGAAGTCATCGATGTTGTGGTCGTCCTGGGTTATGAGCCTTGTTTATTTTGGGCACAATTTAAAAAAAAAACATGCCAGGTTTTAGATTGTTATATTGCAATTTGAAGAAAAAAACTGACACTATCAAAGGCCACTCGAAATATTTGTCAACACGATATGACTTCAGCTTATTCGAGTAGTATTGTATTTTGTCACAATTGGTGTACAGATCTTTAGACTTTCATATATATATATATTTATATATGTATTACTATTTGTCATTTTGTTACTATGTACGATATAAATTTGAAACTGTGCATAAAATATTTCTAAAAATAATTTAATGTATCTTTATCTAGCTTGAATACAGAAATACGAGCGGGAAAACTTGTAGCAGTAGTAGGTCTTGTTGGGTCCGGGAAATCCTCGTTGTTATCCAGCATTCTTGGGGAAATGGAGAAATTAGAAGGCCAAGTTCATGTACAGGTAATACATATAGAATTTTGCTGGTTGACTGATATTCCCAAAGGGTATCATCAGCTCAGTAGTCCGTGCTTCGGTACTGACATGATATATAACATGTTTTTTTTTCTTAACTTCTCCGTTGATTAATTATTTGAAACTAAGTTTTCAACTCCCTCAGGTAAAGTTGACCTTAGATGAATTTGGCTTTTCTTTTTAGGCCCCTTTTGGTTATTTAACCCATCACGTTTTCAGGGCTTATACTTTATGGCCTTCACATTTTGGGGTTTGAGCGTTCCTAATGAAGGTAACTCCAGAAAAGTGTTTCGGACGCACGAATTTATAAACAGTATAAAAATGAGAAGATGTCCACCAGAGACCAAGTGACATTAAGGTTAGCAAATATAGGTCACTGAACGGCCTCCAACAATAAGCAACACCCATACCACATAAGTATAAAAGGACCTGACATAACTAATTTAAAATTATTCAAACGAATAAAACTAACGGCATGATTTATGTAAAATCATTTTTTGTCTCTCTCTTTCTCCAAAATATGTTTCAATGTTTAATGAGGTCGGGATAAAGTACCGGTATTGTCTGTATCCAACTAATAAATGTAAAAATTTTCAATAAAGTATGATGCAATAAAAAAATTAAAAAAAAAATGAAAATAAAAAATTGATCTGGCGGTGACTCTTTATCTTACCGTAATAGCCCGTTGTTGTATTTTAATAAATGTTAGTCCATGTATGAAAAACAGTTAACAAAAGGACTTAAGACACAAAGTACAATTCTTTGAGCACTAACATGCAGTTATCAAAAGCTGGTTCAAAGCCAATAACAACTAATAAAAAATCATGTATCTATGACAAAAATGTCCGTCAGTACACATCAAATGAATTTAGCAACTGTACAGTAACAGTAAGAGAAACACATGATTGATCTTGTGCAATGCTAAAATAAAGGTATCAACAGAATGTTGGACTGGAAATGTTCATATCTGTGTATCAATGATATTTAGTTGTTTTAATCTATTAACAGCAAAATCAATGTTTGTACCGATAAAACATTATTCAAAGATCTCATTACACTGTTAATTTGATAACCTTTTAGAATAAATTTATATAAACGATTGATAAATTAATAAGGATCGCGTCAAAATTTACCGGCTCTTTTAACACCACCGTAAAAATAAGGATGTGGTATCCCGTAATATAGGATCTAATAAGTTTTCCAAAATTTCCAAACCAAATCTTTGTTTCAATGAAATAATTTGGTGAAGGTTTTAAGTAAATTATGGTAACGAAATCCTTGACTTAATAATTGACTAGTAAAACGTCACTGCAGACACGGTCATAGTGAACGAGTTGGGATATATAAACACCGTAAGATGGGGCCAAAGGAATATCACCGTCCAAAAAAAGGAAAAGTAACAATAGGGAACAAACAATCGTCACTAAACTTTTGTATAGAGTTTCCCGTGTGAAACTGAAATATCTAAATCTAGGAAAGGACAGGTATTGCTGTTAATATTTGATTTATTTAAAATCAGCTCCTTACTATACTTGGGCCCTAACTTCTCTGTCATTTTGTCACCGTTGAAAAGTTTCATTGGCAATCAAACACATCTTCTTATTTTTATATTTAGATTGTTTTGAAAGAGTAAATTGACGGGTGTTGCAAGTGGAGCAGGATCTGCTGACCATTTCGAAGCACCTGATATTACCTCTGGGTTTTGATGAAATTCGTGTTTCTCAGTCCTTAATTGTCTATGTAGTGTTTTTGTGGACTTATTTGTCTTTTCACTGTATTTTCGTTTTCCGTCATAGAGTTAGCCGTTTCTCTTCGACTTATGATAGATATAAGAAGATGTGGTATGAGTGCCAATGAGACAACTCTCCATCCAAGTCAAAATTTATAAAAGTAAACCATTATAGGTCGTCACAGTACGGTCTTCAACACGGAGCCTTGGCTCACACCGAACAGTAAGCTATAAAGGGCCCAAAAAATTACTAGTGTAAAACCATTCAAACGGGAAAACCAACGGTCTAATCTATATAAAAAATGAGAAACGAGAAACACTTATGAACCACATCAACAAACGACAACTACTGAACATCAGATTCCTGACAGGACAGGACAGGTGCAAACAAATGCAGCGGGTTTAAACGTTTTAATGGTACCAAACCTTCACCCTTTTTCTGAAACAATAGTGTAACATCACAACATAAAATGACACACTATAAAATATCAATAGCTTAACTCAATCAAAGGACATATTAACACCAATGAACATACACTAAACAAATAAATTTGACCTATGATACAATGTAAATACAAAATAAATAAACTAAGGGAAGAATAATAAAAGTAACATGTTATATCGGTATGAAATGTTAAATAATTTGAGAAAAACAATATGCTCGAACAAAAATATCAGCCATTTGCAATAACTTTAAACACAGGTAAATGAAAATAATATTGTTGTTAGGTATACGTGTATAGTTCCAATAGAGAAAGGAAATATTTTTACAAAATAAATAATTTTGATGTTCATAGTACGAAGTGAAAATTTATAGTAATACCAAACACTTATCAAAGCTGGTATATAGACCAGATATAACCCTGAATAACATTAAATAACAAAAATATGAGTCTTGAATGTCCTCGTTAGTTAGTTACATCACCAATTAGAAATAAAAATCTAAACTTATAATACGATACTAACTTGTCATTAAAACGTAGGATTTCAATTTCAGTAATGAATGTCAGAACATTTATATGATTTATTTTTCTTTAAAGCAGCTATAGTCGATAATCTTGTCCTTAGCATTAGCTACGATTTAGACAACACATTAAAATATGATTTTGGTTGTTTAAAAAAGTAAGTCGCAATTAATAGCTACAATTCCTTGGTTCGGTTTTTCTCTTTCTCAGGTCTTTTACATATCTTATTCTTTTTACTTTTCAGGGTTCAGTATCTTACGTATCACAAGAACCATGGATACAAAACCTAACAATCAGAGATAATATCTTATATGGAAATGAATATGTTGATCGTAAATACAGAAGAGTTATTAAGAACTGCTGCTTGAGAACTGATTTTAAAATTCTACCTGGTGGAGATGAAACCGAATTAGGTGAAAGGGTGAGCTTTATGAAATCTATTTTGATCGTCGCCTGAAATTTGTAAAGTTTTATTTTCATTTTTTACAGTACTGGGTCGATACCACTGCTGGTTGACTATCAGTCCCCGTCCGCTCAGTAGTAAGAAACTTCGGTACTGACATGATAAACAACAAACCTTTTTTTAAATTGTCTGTTTATGAATATAGAAGTTTTTAAGAAACGGAGGTTTCAACTCCCTCAGACAAAGGTGACCTTAGATGGAAATGGCTATTATTTTAGGTCCTATTTGGTCATATAGCTCTTCTACTGTTTTGGTTCTTATACATCCTTGGCTTTCAATTATTTGGCTTTGAGCATTCGGAAAGAATATAATTCCAGAAAAGCTCTTCGGACGAATGACATTTGTAAAGTGTTGTTTTCTGTTTTCTTTGTTTCAGCACGTTTACTACAAACTGTACGTTTTCTTTCTACTCAATTTTGCTGAAAATCTTATTATTTTTCTTCCAAATAACTTTTAGTTTCGGTTGAATATAGCAAAAAATTATATTTTGCGTTTTAAGTTTTTTCTGCGTTTTTCATTAAAGTTTGGCAACCCGGCAATTTGTGCACAACGTGATATCTTGTAGGATATCAGTGAAAAGTAAATAAAAAGAAATTCATAAAATAGAAAAAATGAATGCATTGTGCAGGTCAGGCTATCTGAACCATATTTTATTCGTTGTGTGTATTTGTTTGTTTGTCAGTTTTTGTTTATATGGTCTTGGTTTATGTTTTGATATGGTGTACGGTATTTTGAAGATTCCGGCTATCCTTTTACATGTTTTATGGATAAACGGTATTTTGAAGATTCCGGCTATCCTTTTTCATGTTTTATGGATAAATGAATCAACAACATAACAAGTATAGATATATTTAAAAGCTATCAAAATGAAAGAATGAAAGACGATAGAAAACTGATATAAAGATTATGTATGTATTCTTAGGGAATAAATGTCAGCGGGGGCCAAAAACAACGTATCAACCTGGCTAGAGCAGTATATTGTGATTCTGACATATACCTGATGGATGATCCTCTTAGTGCCGTTGATTCCCATGTTGGTAAAGATTTATTCGACAAAGTTATTGGCCCCAATGGAATGCTAAAAAATAAGGTAATCATAATTGAAATAATGTCTAATTGAAATGAGTAGATGTGGTATGATTGCTAATAAGACAACTTCCACAATGGCACAAAAAATGAGGGTCTGAACAACTAAAGGTCACACACGGCTTATGTATGTAGTTAAATCTAAATTGGTTGAATCATTATTTTTCTGTAATTAATGATGTCTCTTTCAGGCAACACGGTTGAAAATGCGTATCAATACACACGCACTAATTTGTTTTACAATTAACCATTTAGGTTCAAATAAATAATATCAGTGACGATTTCGGTTCATTCTCGAATTTGCAATTATGTTTCACGCTGTTAACGAACGAAACGATGGAGTTTTTGAAAACATCGGCTGTAGAAATAGTTTCATGGTAGACGTAAACATTGTAGAAATAATGAATAATGTATGTTGATGCAAGCTATCGCATTGTCAGAACAATTGTGAAGCCTTTCCGACCCCTAAACTTCATGCTGAATTGTGGTACATATGTATAATGATTTGACAATATGTCATCATTTTTTCAATATGAAACTTGTTTTAATGTATCACCAAATTACTGTTGCAAACGATGTGTAAAGTTTAAAGACCAAAGGACAAACTTATGGATATGAAACTACAAAATTGCTGCATTGTATGCTGAAGTGTATTTGGTAAGATGAATATTAAAACAAGCTCTTAAAAAGAAGTGGTAGGTATGAAATACGGTTGAATACAAAAACGTATTTGAGAGATGTTGGGTTTTTTTTCAGACAAGATTTTTCGTAACGCATGGTGTACAATGGCTCCCAAAGGTCGATGAAATAATAGTGATGGACAATGGTAAAATTTCTGAGCATGGAACATACGAACGCTTAATAAGCAATAATGGTCCTTTTTCCCGATTTCTAATGCAACACCTTGTAGAAGAAGACACATCAGAAGACGGAGACGACACAGAATGTAAGTGAACTAATAGGGGAAATAGCTTACTCAAATGTAGCACATTCTTAAAATTCCCTTCATGACCGCAAATTTGCCCTCGAATTACTAAAAGTAATGGGAGTTTAGAGATTAAAACGTTTGATGAGTTACATCAGGCTTTTCAGTATATTCATTTAATTATGCCTGCATATAAAAGAAAAAGGCAATATGCTTTCTGGATTGTGCGTCCATCCGTCAGTTAGTCAGTTAGTCTGTCTTTCCATCCAGTGCGTATCAGGTTAAGGTTTTTGTTTAATGTAGTTTGTGCTCACATAAGCTTTGACACATAGTACCCACGTTCATTTTTAAAATGATTATTAAGAGAACTTTTAAATATATATGCCAAATTAGGGTTTTGCTGAATATTTCACGGTTAAATGAGCATGAAAATGAAATAGTGTGAGCGGGGCATGATGTTCTATGGATATATATTCTTGTTTTTTTTCTTCTAAAATGCGACCCATTTAAGCCGGTATTGCCTGTAGTCCTTTGGCTTGACTAACGTTTAAGCTGATTGAAAATAAGAACAAAAAGATAGGACCAATTGTCCTTGTATTTGCGTCACTTGCAGGGTCAAAAATATAAAATTTGCAAATCCTACTTATACTTCAACAAATCATTTTTAATTAGTTTCATGTGTCTATGAAATCAAAACGTTATTCAAAATTTTACATGGTTTTTTTAAAATTTCGCAACCATGGATATTTCTAGCCAAAACTGATTTATTTTGTATTTTTGTATTTTTATTATTATTTATAAAATATTTATAGTTGAATTTGGACAGACATAAATTATTATCATTATCATGTATTTGGGTTTAATTACTGATATAACAAACGACACAAATGAACAATTAAAACACATATTAGGAATCGAATAGATCGACCTTTCATATTAGTATCGTTTAGGGGCATACGATACAGTTTTGATCCCACAGAGATTTTTTACGAAAATTTGCATATAAAATTGAGAATGGAAATGGGGAATATGTCAAAGAATCAACAACCCGACCAAAGAGCAGACAACAGCCGAAGGCCACCAATGGGTCTTCAACGCAGCGAGAAAATCCCGCACCCGGAGGTGGTCCTCAGCTGGCATCTAAATAAAATTGTGTACTAGTTTAGTGAAAATGGACGTCACACTAAACTCCAAAACATATAAATGAACTAAAATTAAAAAACATACAAAACTAACAAAGGCCAGAGGCTCCTGACTTGGGACAGGCGCAAAAATGCGGCGGGGTTAAACATGTTTTGTGAGATCTTAACCCTCCCCTATACCTCTAGCCAATGTAGAATAAAGAAACATATAGCAACACGCACAGTAAAACTCAGTTCAAAAGAAGTCCGAGTCCGATGTCAGAAAAGGTAACAAAAGAAACTAAGCAAAATGACAATGATACATAAATGAACAAAGGACTTCTAGCAGTTACTGACATGCCAGCTCTAGACCTCAACTAAACTGATTGAAAGATTATGTCTTCATCATATGAAAATCAAGTACAATCCCTCCCGTAAGGGGTTTAGTATCATACCATCATAAAATGTATGAGAAGAACATAACCCGTATCATGCCAATAACTGGTTTTGGAATAAATGTGTTTATTTCCGATGCAAAGACCCTATGAGTGAATCAATATTAATACAAAAATATGCAATCCTTAATGACTTGACAACGATATCGTAACTATATCCTTTCCGAATAAGTCTGTTTAAAGGTTTGATTAGCTTTTGAGGTGAATGCCGACATTTTTGTGCTTTGTAAAGAATATTATCATAAAATATTGGATGTGAAATACCCGAACGTATAAGATGTCTGCATGTTGATTTATATTTACGAATGCTGTCCTTGTACCGATGACAAAATTTAGTAAATGTTTTGACTAGTTTGTGATATCGAAAACCCTGGCGTAATAATTTTTCAGTAATACAGAGATTTCTTTCGTTGAAATCAAATACGTTGTTACATACACGAGCGAATCGAACAAGTTGAGATATATAAACACCATAAGATGGTGACAAAGGAACGTCACCATCTAAAAATGGATAATTAACAATAGGAAATGAAAAATCATCTCTTTTATCATAAATTTTGTTATTAAGATTCCCGTTAAAGATATAGATATCAAGATCCAGGAAAGGGCAGTGTTCATTGTTAGTATTAGCTTTATTTAAAGTCAGTTCAGCAGGAGAAATCTCTTTAGTGTACATACTGAAGTCGTCATTATTGAGAGCTAATATATCATCTAAATATCTAAAAGTGTTATTAAATATTTGAATCAGATGTTGTTTTGCTATTTTTCACCTCGTCAATTCAAATATGTAATAATAAATATACTTTCGTGTGCTACTTTTAGAGATAAATGGGGTCAAAATTTAGACATTTACTAAAGATTTCGGTTTCCTGGAAATTTCTATCTTTAAATAGAAATTTACCTAACTTTTTTGGGGTTTCAAAAGTAGAAATAACCGGATTTTATAAAACACATTTGGATTCTTTGTAAATAATCCATTTTTATTGAATTTCCATGATTTTAGAAAAAACGGCTTTTTTGCTGTACATTTATTTAATTTAAAAAAATCGTCCATGATTTGTTCATAAAATTTGGTACAAATAATTTTTAAACATAATCAAGCCAAAAGTCATTTAAAAAAAGAGGGGTCTATGTACTCTTTTTCAAGTTAATGATTAAAATTAGTCGAAACGTGCATATTTTACCAATATGTCACAGTTTGACGTCGCGAAAAATAAGATTTTACGTTAGCAACGTCATTACCTCCCCTATAACTGTATCGTATGCCTTTAAAAATATGAAACCTACACGAAATAAACGACCGTGTTTAGAAAGTGTCTTCGATCACTTTAATTATAAAGAAGTACATTTTAAAGCCATATTCAAAATAGCTATGCTCACTTTGACAGTTCAGCAAATTAAAGATGAAATGTTTGAAAGAGTAACTGTTACTTCTGATGGAGGGATGTCTGATACTCTAACATCAGACTGTGTGATGTCAGATGAGGAATATAAAACACAACGTACGAGGTCACGAAGGTAAAGGGTTATTTATTTTAAAGAATATATTTTAGAAAGTCTTTGGAATTTTTATAAAGTTTTAAGAATTTAAAGCAATTCTTCTTAAACTTTATTTTTTAGTTACTAGTAGTTATTTTTGAAATGTGAAATTTTGTCAATCATGATTTGGGACTTTACCGGTCAGATTTAAGGCAATTTTTTTCACATGAATCACATTAACTCGATTATCCAAAGATAAATTTACTTCAAAATAAACTGTTATTGAGATAGGTGGAAGTAGGCTCTGTTTCAATTTTGAAATATTTCAGACAAATTGTATACACCTGTGACAGACGTGACATAGTATGGTACTTCTCTTCATCCGTCTGTCCACACACTGTGGAATAACTACAGTAATGTGATCAAATGTCCTGTCCTGAATTGGCATGGACAATTTGCAACTGGACACTAAGTAAACAACAAACATTGATTAAATTTCAGGAAAATTGTGTGAAATGTTTGAATCGCGGGAAATGGGAAATTTAAATTCGCATCGGACGGGCGTATCTTACTGTAGTCTAGCTTGTTATTTTATAAATAATGTAATGTCAGCTTTCTATATTGTATAACTGGAATGATATTTTATCAGAACACGTTAATGTTTTGAAATTCATTTGAAAGTTTAGTCCTGAATTTGATTTTATATGTATTTAGTAGTTCATTTTGATGACAACTAAGACATATCCATTGAGAAATAATCTAATGATTTTTAATTTCTTGCTAAATTAGGACCCTAGCAAGACAAAACAGTCGCAAGCTTAAGAGGCAAATGTCAAAAGATGGTGGATCACCCGAGCAACAAGAAAGTCAAACAGCAAAACAGTTTAAAAAAGATGGCGTGTTAGTACAGGATGAAACATCTGAGAAAGGATCGGTATGCATCAAATTATAAGTTAAATATATATATATAAATACGGAGAAGTGGCATGATTGCCAATGAGACACTTTTTCACCAGAGACAGACACTAAAGGACGAGGTTTTAAATAAAGTCAACAGTGGTTCAAATCTCATGAATAGATTAAAAAGATAGGTACATACAAATAAACATACGGTACTGTACACCATTTAACAATGAGACAAAACCCTAACCGTAGAGTAAGTCATAAAGTCCACAGTATGACAAAATGCGAAACAATGCAAATGAGAAAACCAACGACCTGATTTTTATCATTCTATACAAATTCAATTAATTTTACTCAATTAGGTTGTCGTGTTATCATAGATTATACTATCATAGTTGAATAAAATATTTTTCATTTGACAACTTAATAGTTAATGTTTCATTGTCATAATATACTGAATTTAGCTTGATCAGTCTTTTCCTCTGTAATGATCTCGACGAGATTTATCGCCGAATGTGTACTTACCATACGCAGCACGACGGATGCCATGTGTGGAACACGGTTTGATTGCAATTCCGGAGCACATGAGATAACCCCGTGTTTTAGAAGGGATTAGTTTTCGAGTCTACGGTTTTCTTATGCAGTGTTTTGTAGACAGTTGTTTGCTATTTTCGTCGATTTTCGTTTTGGTTTTGACGGTCGTCCTCCTCTTTTTGATAAGGTTAATTCAATATTGAAATTATTAAAAGTGTATTTGATCGAAGATAAGTCCCAGATTTAAGTTTGCTTTCTAACTTGATTTTAATTTCAATATATCTGATATTTATATTAAATAAAAAGAAAGTCAGATGTTAGGCACATACATTTATCGCTTCAATAAAGATTGGTTTATTGAAGCAAGTTGATGATCGGGAATTTTCAGATATTTCTTTAATTCAATGGTTGTTTTTTTATAACCGCTTTGGGTTATGTATGAATGTATATGAAATCACCATAAAATTCTACCTTATTGAATGTGATAAACCCTAACTACCACGGACAGAAATTTTGTCATTCTAAGTAATATTTGGTGTGTAAAATACTTGTAGGGTGAACCTATCCGTCTGGTTTGGTTCATTTGATCGTGACCTTATTTTAATTGACCATTTATATTATGTAAGTAAAGTTTACATGATACCTGTTTAACATTTAACTAAAAAATCACAAACAACTGAAGTGTAAGTAAAGAGGAAATTGTCGTCTAACTTATAAGAAAAGATATTTTGATAATAACATTTAAGACTTCTGGTCAAACATGTTTGATACCATTATCAAAAAAGGACCATAACCAAAAACTTCCATCAAATTGTATATATATACAAACTAGCTACACATGCTCCTGTCAGAATTGATAACTTGCCAGTGCTTGTATTTTTTTGTAGGTAAAACTAGCAGTTATTCTCACTTACATCAAGTCAATGGGTGTATTAGTTACACTTATGGCATTCATTTTCCTATGTGTATACCAAGGCTTAGGAATATATTCAAATATCTGGATTACATACTGGACATCTAATTTGTATTTATTGAATGCTTCAAATCGAAACACCGACATATACTATGAAGAAAAAACTTACTACCTTGGATTGTATGCTTTGATTGGAATATTACAAGGTGAGACTTAATCACATTGCATTTTCATATTTTGACAGGCTTGATCTTGTTACAACAGGGTATTATAATATAAATAAGCAGTCATATTATATTTAAAATTGTGTGGAAGCGGATGGTTTTATAAATTCACTATCTTTTTGCATGTAATAATTTAATATTAAACTCTTTTATTTAGCAGGTCACGTTAATTGTCACTACTAAGAAGATTATGAAAATAACAATTTATAAATTTCATGCGTATGTTTTAAATAACTAGGTGTGTAATGTAATTCTCTAATCTTTTTCAGGAATTGGTTTTATACTTTTTCAAGGTTTCATAGTAAACGGTTTTATACGAGGAACAAATAGATTTCATTCAAAGATTTTGAACAGCATCCTCCGATCACCGATGTCATTTTTTGATACAACACCTACAGGAAGAATCATAAATCGATTTTCCGGTGATATCGATATATTAGATGACAGATTTCCACGTATCTGTAATTTTTTTGTTATTTCCCTGTCAACTTTGATCTCTACAATGATAGTTATAGTCATGAAGACCCCATTGGTAATGGTTGTTATCGCTCCTGTAGCAGTTTTATACGTTGTATTTATTGTAAGTAAAACCTTGTTTTGGGGTGTAAATGGTATGACCATTGTTCATTGTTTAAGGCAGGACCGTGACCTATAGTTGTTTGTATCAGCTTCCTTCGTTCTGTTGTGGATTGGTATCTCATTGGCAATCATACCACTTCTAATTAATCATAAATATATATACCACCAAAACCAAAAATAAAAAAGTGCTTGTCTCAAAAAATTGTAACCTCTTTTATAATAAAAATATGTGAAAAGAAGATATCAAAAAACCACAAAAAATTATGTATCGAAGATGAACAGACCGTGACAAAGCGGCCTGAAAATAAATGACAAAGAATTAGAAGCAAATCTTCATAATATGTCTTTACCATTTTGGCAAATTTAAGAAATTTATATAGCACCTATATATTCTATCTTATAACGTTCTCTTCACAATGACCTGCACCGTTGTTCAGTAATTTTAATATGATTCGAAAAAAAACCTTACATCAGAGTTTGCTTTATTAAAATGTTTGTAAATGCCATTTACACAAAGCCTGTTCACTCTCCTAGAACGATGATTCTGCTCTGCATTTCTCCATAAACCCAGTGACACCAGTATAAAGACTTAATGTGAAAATCATCGACTGTAGTTGTTTCAACAAGGGATCCTGTATGTTTCATTTAATAAATCATTTGTTGGATACGATAATGATTTTTACTAAAGAATATGTAAGATGTTTTGTATACACCTGTAGTTACATTAGCCATCTCTTTTTGGCGAAATGAAGGTAAGAATTTCACTTGAAGTATCCGAACGTCTTGTATAGTCACACGCCTTAGAAAGCTAACAAACAATTAATTGATTAAAATCATTGATGTAAAATAGGTTTAGACAGTACAAAAACTATGACATAAAGTAAGGGATACTTAAGCCAACTGTACTTGTACTTTTAACTCGTCGAAAATACAAGAATTAAAAATTGTGTACGCTAGACGCGCGTTTCGTCTACAAAAAGACTCATCAGTGACGCTCGAATCAAAAAAGTTTAGAAGGCCAAATAAAATACGAAGTTAATTGTTTGTATCTGATGAAGTTCATAACTCTATGAACACGTATTTCATTTTAGAAATTTTATTTGCCTACATCCAGACAATTAAAACGGACAGAGGCAGTGACCAGATCACTCCTGTTAAGCCATTACAGTGAGACTATAAATGGCACAAGTGTTATTCGTGCCTATAACTCGGAGGAAAGGTTTATTGACGAAGTCTATAAACGACTTGATCTGAACTCATCATTTTATTTTGCCGCGAACACTGGAATGGGGTAAGTCTAATTCTAGAGTTGTATAGCTTTGTGTACTTTGTATAATTAACTTCTGGAATATTTTTATTAATTTCAACAGTTGGAATATTTCCATCATAAACATCGTTAAACTCACTACTTCATATGTGGTGCATCAATTACTGATGAGCGTCTCACGTTTAACTGTAAACAAATATTTTTTGGATTAGATTTTTCAATTCCATTTTCTCATTTTTATATTATAGCAAGAGCAAAATGTTTTGGCTTATTTTTTTTCCTTTTGACAACCATTATCATTGCATGAATGCATACAAGTAAAATTACAGTGGATTCAAAGTAATGGAATAGCCTTCATTCTATAGTCGCAAGACAACGCCGCAGTTACGTGTAGTTATTAGAAGAAATATTATATAATGATAAATTAAATTCACTTTTTTTAATCGAATGACATCAAACGTCTTTATCAATTTTTTGTATTAAAGGGCAACTTAACTGGAGTTTATTTGCTCTATCACTTGTAATTGACAATGTGATTTAAAAATGTACTGTTTTGCATGAATTAAAAGATACCTGCCACCCACAGAGCATAAAGCTTGATGATTTCATCTATTACATACTTTCAATAAGAACTGCTTGTAATCTATAAGTTGCAATAAAAGTTCAAGAAACGTGCAAAGTTTCTTGTGATGTGTAAGATAAGTTATAAAATGATGATTTTATTTATATCGTCCTTTACATCTGGCCTTGACCCTTCCGAAATCATTAAGCTCCACTGTAGTTTTTGATGAGGATGTGTTCAAAGATAATATGCCTAAATGTTAAAGTTCATTTAGAAATAGATAGCTGTATTTTAGATGGATTGGTATGAGAATACAGACGTTTGGAAACTTGGTAGTTTTAGCCGCTGCACTATTTGCTGTGCTCTCAACATCTCTTTCCGGAGCAGATGCCGGCCTGTCATTGACGTATGCATTACAGGTGAGCAACAGCTTTTTTACAACATATAAACATGGTTTTTGGTTTTAAAATTGTTTAACCGGTTTTTTTTTTTAGATAAAAAATCAGCAAAAAGTACACGAATCATTTATCGCTTTAAACACACTAGTGTTTTGAACCCTTAAAATAAAAATGTTTTATCACAATAAATGTGCAGTTCGAGGGAGATCTGTTGGCATTGACAGCTTTCCACTTTGATTTGTATGTACCCATTACAATCAAGTTATTAAAATTGTAACTTTTCTGCAGATAATAGTAAGCATGAATGCTGTTGTACAGACTGTCAGTATTTTACAAATGGACATTATATCAATGGAGAGAGTAGATGAATACAGCAAATTACAACCAGAGGTAATTTTTATGACCTTTTTGTATAGATGAAATGAAGTTTTGAATGAGATATAATATTTTTTATAGAGTTGATATATTCTTGTCCAAGTAAAATAAACATGCACGTATTAATTAAATTTAAAATGGAGGGATTTTGCAGCGTTCTACGTGTTTTTCCGTGTGTCCCGAGTCACTTTTAAATGTCAAACATTTTCTGAATTGAATTGTTTCATATATTTCATGTCGGGACCTTTTATAGCCGACAATACGGTATGGGTTTTTGTCATTGTTGAAGGCCGTACGGTTGCCTATAATTGCTTACATCCACTTTTTTTGAACTTTGGTGGATAGTCGTCTCATCAGCAATCATACCTCACCTCATAATTTTTATATATAAGAATATCATTAAAACAAAATATTTAAAGAGGAACTTTTTTGAGTAGCCAGTACCTTCTATGATCAATTTCGCACAAAAACCTATAAAATAACAGAAGCTTGTGAAATGAGAATAAAAACTTAACAGTCACATATATTTGAAAAGTGTCATAATAGCTTTCACATATATACGAAAAATGTCATAATAGCTTTCACATATATACGAAAAGTGTCATAATAGTTCTCACATATATACGAAAAGTGTCATAATAGCTCTCACATATATACGAAAAGTGTTATAATAGCTTTCCCATATATACGAAAAGTGTCATAATAGCTCTCACATATATACGAAAAGTGTCATAATAGCTTCCAAATACATAGACGGCGTGCACAAAGCTGAGTCCACAAACGTAACGTCTTTAAATTACTTCAATCATTTACGACGTCGGCATTTTTCCCCAGAAAACAAACGTGTAACAAAAACACTGGACACTTAGTTTATTACATACTTTAAACATACACGTTCAACATATTTCTTTTTTTTTAGCAACAAAGTGCAGCATATGCACATTGTGGAAATATAAATAAATATATGCTAAGAGCAGTGTAATGGGAATAATAAGCGACTATGTCGTGGACCCTATTCAGAAAATAGCGTTAAAACGTCATTTCTTTAAATTGTAACATAATAGCTGGACATTAAAAAAATTCAGGTGTTCAGCCTGGACTATCAAATCATTCATATTTTGCAGATTTGTTTAAACCTCTTGTTATGCACATTTGGAATATCAAGTTATTTTGAAATAAAAAAATAGCAATTCAATATTTGTTCTTATCTATTCTTCCATTTTCGAATATTAATCCTTCCAAATTACTACTTCTTACACATAACGAACTACATTTCAAACTCATCCACCATGGCCGTTTTTGATTTTTTTTGCGATGAATTTCGTATGACGTCATAGTCCGAATCCGAAAAATTCTATTATACGTAAATGCGGGAAAATATGTTGAATTTGTATAAATTTTAGGTCGAAAACTCTATTTTATGCTTATTTTATGTTACAAGTTTCACATAATTTAGCCGTTTTCTCTATGTTCGTTTCATACTTTATAGATTTAATTTTGATAACTTTATAAGTAATGTGGATTTTAATGGCTAGCATTCATCATTTTATCATAAAAAAAAACTTCCTATTGAAAATATATTTTAAACACGGTTGTATAAAACTACTTTTAAAAGCGCATTTTACAGTTGCCTTCAACTTTGTGCACGCCGTCTCACGAAAAGTGTCATAATAGCTCTCACATACATACGAAAAGTGTCATAATAGTTCTCACATATATACGAAAAGTGTCATAATAGCTCTCACATATATACGAAAAGTGTCATAAAAGCTTCCAAATACATACGAAAAGTGTCATAATAGCTCTCACATATATACGAAAAGTGTCATAATAGCATCCAAATATATACGAAAAGTGTCATAAGAGCTATCACATATATACGAAAAGTGTCATAATAGCTATCACATATATACGAAAAGTGTCAAAATAGTTCTCACATATATACGAAAAGTGTCATAATAGCTCTCACATATATACGAAAAGTGTCATAATAGCTTCCAAATATATATGAAAAGTGTAATAATAGCTTCCTCATATATATGAAAAGTGTCATAATAGCTCTCACATATATACGAAAAGTGTCATTACAGTTCTCACATATATACGAAAAGTGTCATAACAGCTTCCAAATATATATGAAAAGTGTAAAAATAGCTTCCACATATATATATGAAAAGTGTAATAAGAGCTCTCACATATATACGAAAAGTGTCATAATAGCTTCCAAATATATATGAAAAGTGTAATAATAGCTCTCACATATATACGAAAAGTGTCATAATAGCTCTCACATATATACGAAAAGTGTCATAATAGTTCTCACATATATACGAAAAGTGTCATAATAGTTCTCACATATATACGAAAAGTGTCATAATAGCATCCAAATATATATGAAAAGTGTAATAAAAGCTTCCACATATATATGAAAAGTGTAATTATAAAAAGCCAGTATGAAACATTAACTACTGAGTAGTGAATTTAAGTTCCCTGTTAATAGTATGGAGCAAGTTAATGAATATTGAAATTTAAAACTAATGTGTTGGAAGCAGTGCATACATTTACCTTTATCATAAAAGTTATTTTGCAGTTAAGAGTTTAAAAGTTTGTACTTCAACATTATCTCTACTTGTTTTAACAGTATTTTTATAACTTTAGTTATTATTGCGTTACGTTCTCTTTTTTTTCTGTTCTCCGTTTTCTGCAATCATATGAATTAAGGATCAATTGAATGGAGATGTATATATCTTTTGCACATGTACTCGCTCCTTTTGGTGGTAAATGCAATTCCCTCAGGTTCTTTTTGTTTTTACGAAGTTTAAGTTTTGGTAATCTACTGTCGCCTTAATTTACTAAAAGCTGTCTCTACTGCACCTGTTGGAATAATTTTTTGAAATTAATCTAGAAATTTTTCATTCATTTGAAATAAGCAATTGCTTTATTTAGATTTTTGGATTCTCCGTAATGTTCAATTTGAGTAAAGAATTCGTTTCTTACATTCAAGCGGCAATGTTGAAAATATTGAGTTTTTTATAGGCAACATGGATAAGCAACAAAAGACCAGTTGACGACTGGCCAGCAAATGGAGAAATTGAATTTTTGAACTATAAGACCTGGTATAGAGAAGGGTTAGACTTAGTATTAAGGGGTGTTAGCTGTAACATCAAACCTGGGGAAAAGGTAAGATATTTTTATCTTTTTTTAAGAACACGTTAACTGATTCCTGACGACATCGATATGCACATGCTAAAATCCTTGTGTTTTTATGTATACGTTTATATTATTGATGTTTGTGATTGCAAGTTACCATACCTCAACTCACGGGTTGGGAGGTATACGGCTTTCCGTTGATGCCATTTGAATAAAATACACTTGGTTCCTTTATCTGACATTTTTCTTGATATTCCCACTGGGCATCATTCCAGTGAATTAACTGTTCAATCACTTGTGTTGTGGCCTGACTGTCTGAGGTGTTGGCTCACTTAGAGATATTGCTTCATTGTGATATTGCCTGTATGCCCATTGTAGCGTTTATAAAATATGGCTGCTGTAACTCACCAACATCGCCACAAACTGAACATTTCAGAATATAAATAACATATGAAATTTTGCAGGTTATATATATATATTTATATATTTGTTTATTTATCTGATTTGATCAAATCACTTGAAAAACAGTAAACAATATCAACTTATTTAGATCGACAGATACAATATAAAAAAAGGAAAACAACATTTTATAAATGTCATGCGTCTCAAACGTTTTTCTGGATTTACCTTCAGAAAAGTTGTTTAATAATTTCTGTGTGTGCTTCATGTCATGCTTTGCTCTCCATACCTTTCTTGTATAATTTATATAATTTTGTAGATAGGCGTGGTCGGACGCACAGGAGCAGGAAAGTCGTCTTTAACAATGGCGCTTTATAGACTAATAGAGAGAGTAGATGGTTGTATTAAAATTGATGGAGTTGATATTGCTGCTATTGGATTGCACGATCTTAGGTCGAAAATTTCTATTTTACCTCAGGTATGGTAATCTTAACGATAAAATGTAGGAAAGGTTTATTTATCTAAACAAAAGTAAAGTATTTACTGAGTACATTTGTAATTAGTTTTGTTGAGTATAAATTGGGCAATAGCCCAACTTTAAAGAAATGCAAACAAATCACGTGCATGCATTATTGGGTAATTTATTATAATTGTTGGTGTTGTTTTGTGTTGTGCTTTGATTATTTGGTATCTATTTTGGGGGATTTATAATATTTTCTCCTTTTTTTTTCGTCTTTTTTTTTCGTCATTTTTTTTTTTTTTTTTTTTTTTTTTGTTCCTATGAGAAAAATCATGGCAGGTTTCAGACTTTGATAATGCAAACTTATTTAAGTATCAAAACCTATAAATTAAATCAATTGAATACTGGAAAGCACATTAATTAAAGATGGTGTTATAGTGAATAGTTAAATAAGGCAACTCGTACAATTAAGGTTCTTATAGAATTTTCTTTATTTTTAAAAGGATCCAGTAATATTTTCTGAGCCATTGCGAACAAACCTGGACCCAAGTAGCAAATTTACAGATTCACAAATTTGGAGAGCATTAGAGTATTCAAATTTGAAAAGTTTCATAACTTCTCAATATGGCGATTTGATGTCAGAAGTAGGTGAAAGTGGTCGAGATCTAAGGTATCTATATAAATCAAGTTTATTATTATACGGTATTATTCAGTTTGATATTGTTTTATATGTGGCTGTGTTAGTTTTGTCTATAAGGTCAGTATTATAGGATTAAGTGTTATTTTTGTTGTTCATTTTTCTATCTTCTTTCTGTTCTGCACTGATCAAAATTTAAAAAGTTAAGAGACAAATGTTCTAAGAACTAGTTTAACCCCGCCAAATTTTTGTATGCCTGTCTTAGGATATATAACAAAGTTGTTTGTCCTTCAGGAATTCTTTTGTTTTGTTAATGTTAGATATTCATAGTCTGTAAGAGCATTCCCTTCCTGTCAGACTAAGTTGAGAGTTATACATATGTTATTGACACTTATCCATTGTTATATAACCTCTATATATCTTTTTTTTCTTCTTTGGTTGGGTTGCTGTCTTGGTGCTGCCGGCCCCAAATTTTCTTGAGCTTATACTTTATTTTGCTTGATATTATCATAAAGGAATCATTGTATTGTTTAAAGCTGTTTTTGCGTAGAGATAGTTAACTATGTGTTATTTATGTTCTCATTCATTTTTCAACCGAACATAAAGTATTTAATCCTTAAACCACAACACTTAGGCTAGTACATAAAACAAAAACACCCTATCATTATGGGATCAGCTCGCCAGTTGTGCAGCTAAATTTGTTTAATTTATTAAACAAACATATAAAGAAAGAGTGCGTCACATATGACATGTGCACTGGCCGCTGCCATGTTAAAATATCTACAAAGACAAAACGGAAATAGTCAGTATACAAATAAACGAAAAATATATATTCTCCATACAAAACGTTATGGGTGGGGAGGTGGGTTAGCTGCACTGAAAACTGAGCTTCGAATGATTATATACTGTAGTTTGATGAACAAAGAAAACTATTCCCGCTTTTGAAATTCGTGCAACATAAGTTGCAACTTTAAACTCAAAATTTAACATAAGTTAAAGGTCCCATTCGGACCAATGGTCAATGTTTATTAAAATAAATAAACAAATACACGTCAATGTACACGTGGATAAGAATATAGCCACGTGTATTAGATAATAGGGTTAAATACATTTATGATTTAAACGAGTTGGCTATATTGTCAATTCTGTTTTAGCTTAACACAATACTAAATTCGATTTCTTTACTCGTCGGAGCTGATGATACATATTCTGTTGGTTCTCATTGATATGAATTTCAATCATGTTTTTTATATGTACAGCGTGGGACAACGTCAGTTACTTTGTTTGACTAGGACCTTACTGCATAAAACAAAAATACTGCTGTTAGATGAGGCAACTGCTGCTGTCGACATGGAAACTGATAAGATCATTCAGCAAACAATAAAATCGCATTTCTCTGAATGCACGGTTTTATCTATAGCTCATCGGATAAATACAGTCATCGATTATGACAGGTAGGATTGTATCATAATATGTATAGTAGCGTAGTCATGCATGCATGTTAGTTGGTGTTCCACATTATAAAAAAAAATAAAGACAAAATTGCTATAACTTTGAATTTGTTGTTGACATATTACGCAATCTTGGTACCTTTGTGTTGAAGTTATAACTTTACCTATGATCCATACTTGGCCTTTACACGTGATATTCTAATACAGTATTGTTTAGAATTGAATTTGAAGGTGATGGAAAATGTCATGGTTAACAATCTAGATTTTTGCCTTTGCTTGTAATCAATACTTTTATGTATCCGAAAGTGAATTATGCAAACTATTTGTTACAGGTATTTCAAAGTAGTCTATTTTTATTAGAGAGTAATATCTTAATAATAGTAGAAGACTTCTGCATTGGAATTAGTATATATGACTACGAAAAAGTTCTCCTTAAGTTACCGCATGCAATCTAAATAAATTCACCAGGATTAAAATTTTGTACGCCAGACGTGCGTTTCGTCTACAAAAGACTCATCAGCGGAGCCCGAATAAAATAAGTTAAAAAGTAGTGTATAACGATAGTTAAATTATAGCTTGTAATGCAAGAAGCGAGCTGATTAATATATAAAAAGAAGCTATTGGTTTCCATTGCTCCCTTGGATAGTTCCTAGATAAAACAAATACTTTTTTTAATTGATGTCGGAAAGCTGCCATATGTATAATAAATATTTTTTAAACTTAAATTGGAACTCGGTTGTACGAAATGTAAATCAAGCTAGTATCATAGTAATTATCGGTCAGTTTGGCGAGCATGCAGGAAAATGCCACCTTTTTTTAGGGTAACAAATCTCCTACAGTTTTATAAAAAAGACCCATCCAACATTCTAGAAATGATTGTAAATATATTTTAAATTAAAACATTTGGATAATTTTTACAACATTCTCAAAGACGGGTAACCGTTATGTTTCAACAACTTCTAATTGCAGTTTTTAAAGTAGAGGCTATAAAGTATCAGAATGTTAGTGTTTGAATTTAAATTGAAAATATAAATTTCGATGTGTGTATACATTATATTAATTGCATTATATAAATTGTATACACTGTATCGTTCTTCCAGAAAGTTGCTATTGAAATTTCAGAAGACAAAGGAAGATCCTGGCCACACCTTTAATTATATGATTTGAATCCTTACTATTAGATTTAATTAAACGATATATTTACATTGTCAAAAATAAGAAATTAACTGATAAGTTATAATTTACAATAAGGTTCAACCAATTACAGTAATTTTCATAGTAAGTTCTGAATTAACGTTTTATTTTGTTTCAGAATAATGGTTATGGATAATGGTGTTATAGCTGAATTTGATACGCCCGAAACCTTGCTACAAAACAAGGAAGGAGTGTTTTATTCCTTGGCAAAAGAGGCCAATCTTATATGAAGCGCCATATTTGAGTCCATATACCATTTTTGTCGATTTTAACTTAATCGTTGATTACACCTTTCAATACATATGCTGAATTGTAGCATTATTTTGCTAATGAATTATTTTTAACATATATTATGAATTATGACAGAGTTATTCTATTGGTATCATGCTAGTCGTTTGGTTAGTCTTTTTAAGTTTGATTATATTTGATACTAGTTTTCTTACCCTGTTATAAAATATAAAACATGTGCATTTTTGTACTGTTACAAATTACACTATGAAACAAAAGATGTTGTGTATGCATCAATGCCAAAGCAAGCAGACGACATTAAAACATCCGGAGGTCGACATACAGTCTACAACAATGAATTTCCTATGACAAAAAAACATTTAGATATAACGTAAGACCATCTCTTACAATGTGCCTTATACAGCTATATACTAATATGGCGGGGATAAACCTGTTTTTGTTTGCATAACCTATCTATCCCATTAATAGATAATAGGTTCAATATAAAAAATAATATGAAAAACGTACAGAAAAACATCGGTACAGAAAAAGAACTTAAGGTCTATGATACCGGTATCACAGACAACAAAATCTCCGGTCCAGAAAATGTATGCTAAATCATACAGAAAGTTTATGATACCGGTATCCCAGACGGCAAAACGTTAGGTCCTTGAAACCTATGCTGAATTCTTCCAAAGGTTATGATACCAGTATCACAGACAACAAAAACTCGGGTCCAGGAAACCTATGCTAAATTATTACAATGGTGTATGATACCGGTTTCCCATACAACAAAAACTCAGGTCCTGGAAATTTATTCTAAATTATACCAAGGGCCTATGAAACCGGTATCACAGACAAAAAATTCTCGAGGTCAAGGTAACCTATGATAAATTATACCATATTGAAAATGCTGTGATACTTAAGGCAACAAAAATACAGAATCATATGGCCAGGGAAAAAATCACTTGAAATTAATTAATGAAGAAATAAATTGGTTAAATCTATATTGAAATGTTTGACCAATATCCTAAGTTACGTTTTAGTTAGTTTGTTAGTTCGTTTGCTTTCAAATTGGCAGGATTGATTGATAAAACACATGCTTTATTAATCATGTAAATTAGATTAAAAATGATGAGAATCTCTTTTTGAAGTAAAAACATTTCATATGGTGCATCAGTTCATATTTCCTGTAAGTTCATTGTCTTTTATGCTGCAGTGTTACAATCCATACATTTAATTAGTTTTATATACTTTTTATTTCGTTTTATCACTCATTGGTATTTGAGTTTTATATATTTGTTATTTTTCTTTTAAAAGTTATAATTACGTTATAATATAAGAAATATTATAAAACAATTTATGTTATTTTGTTTTAAATAAAGTATATTTGGATATTAAGTATCTAACTATAATCAAAGGTTCAAATTTAAACTGCCCGAACATATGTCGATGACGTCAGCAGAGAAGACCGATTATGCAGCATAACGTACAAATATAGGATTTCAACCAATAAACACTGTATAGTAAATGAAATTAAGAAAACTACAGATTTTCAATTAAAGGGAATTAGTTACTTAACGGATTAAGTCGACCTTAGATAAATTGGTTATTTTATTAGGACCTCTTTACATTACTTCAATTGTTTTAAAGCTGTTTATGTAGTTATACATCATTGACTTTGTTTCAAAAGAGCATTGGCTACGAATTTGACAAAAAATCAAAATATGGTTTTGTTTTGTTTCATTTTGATACCTATTAAGTCTGTCTGTTTTGTTCCCACATTGTTGTCAATATAATGGAATTTTATGCAACAGTCATACAAGTGAGAGGTTTAGTTAGCTATAAAACCAGGTTTAATCCATCATTTTCTATATAAGAAAATGCTTGTACCAAGTCAGAAATATGACAGTTGTTTTCCATTCGTTTGATGCTTTGAGCTTTTGATTTTGCCTTTTGATAAGGGACTTTCTGTTTTGATTTTCCTTGGAGTTCGGTAATTTTGTTATTTTACTTTTTTTCAAACTTTTTTAAAAGCGAATTGTGAAATAATATATCACTATAAGCAGTCAGTTTTGGTTGTAGTTTTTCCTAATTATGCTTAAAAAACATCAATGATATATTATTGGCTTGCAAGTTAAAAATTCAACTTATTCAATCCGTATTCATGCGAACTTCAGTTTTAACTCTTTACTGAGATGTGCTACGAATGGGCTAAGCATGTTTAATTATTAAAAAAGAAAAGAATGGCAACATTTAAAAGTGAAACAAGGTAGCCACCAGGAAGATCCCTTTAGCTGACTTGACTCTGTCTAAAAAAAGTCATTCAAAAACAGATAAAACGATGATTTACATATTTTTCTAAGACATGAAATCTAACAGACTTAGACAAATCGCCATTATACGATTGCACGTGCTTGCCTGTGTATTTATATATATATATAATTCCTACGAGACGGTAACACCTCCTGAAACGAAAGCTGATTTTTTATCAGCTATAGTTAGAGGAAGGGATAAGGCGTCTGTGCAATGCTAGGCGGTGTTGTCGTAGAAGTATGAAGTGAAAAGTACAGGTTCCAGCCCCGGTCTTGGAGGAAGTAAATAATCAGATCTACCCTTAAATTGTTAGGTTGATTTTCTAGACAATTTATAAATATTCTAACGCCTGGTATTTCTTAATCACAAGAAATCCGATGGACAAGGTATAATTTACAATTGTCACTACACATAGGCAGACATACATATATATAAATTTACAGTGATTGTATGCTTCTAAAAATAGAATAGCATCCTGTAATTATACTGAAGAGATGAGTAGATTATAATTCCTGTACACTTAAAAATGCTTTGTGTATTGCGTTTAAGATGTCCTTGTTTAATTCCTACGAGAAGGTAACACCTCCCGAAACGAAAGCTGATTTTTTTATCAGCTATAGTTAAAAGAGGGGATAAGGCGTCTGCGAAAAACTAGGCGGTGTTGTAGAAGTATGAAGTGAAATGTACAGGTTCCAGCCCCGGTCGGGGAGGAAGTAAAGAATCAGATCTACTCTAAAATTGTTGGGTTGATTTTCTAGGCACTTTATATATATATATATAACAACATCAGCCGAGATGAACTTTTACAATATAAAGACAAAAAGGTCAACAAAAGAGTGCCGTTTGAGCTGACTTACCATCCCAAGTTATCACACCTAATCCGCGAAAATTGGAAAAAAATCGAAAAACATCCTAAACTATCCAAGATCTTTCCCGAGCCACCTGTACTGGCTTTCCGTAGGCCCAAAAGCCTTAAAGACTTGCTGGTGAGAGCTGATTTATCCTCTAAATCAGGCTCTTCGTCTGTGGACTCTTGCAAGGGATGCGGAAACAAACGATGTCTGACTTGCAAACAAATACTGAATACCCAGACTTTTAACAGTCACTCCACTGGTACGGAATACACCATATTTTGCAATGTTAATTGCAAGACTACAAATGCTGTTTATCTTCTACAGTGTAAATGTGGTAAACAGTATGTTGGCGAGTCAGAACAGCCATTTCACAAACGAATGAACGGACATCGTAGCGACTATGAATGCAAGCCAGACCTTCCTCTCAGTCGACATTTGAGATCCCATGGCCACACTAAGGTAGATCTCAATCGACTGACCATTACAATCATAGACCACAACACTGCTTTGTCTAGGAAGGATAGACTCACTCGGGAAAGATTTTGGATAAGAAAATTAAAAACTTTGGCACCAAATGGAAATGTGTAGTTCTAATTCGCTCAGTGCTTTTCATTTGGGTTATATTACATATTACTACGCAGTCTCTGTTTCTATTCCTTTACCTTTGTCAACTCTAAAATTCTAGAATTATACCAGTTTAAATCGCAGGGTACTATTCATTTGGGATGTATAAGTGCGCAGCCTCTGTTGTAATTACTTTACCGTCGTCAAATTTGAAATATTATTCCAGCTCAGCGATGTTCATTGGGAATGTATTTCTACGCAGTCTTAATTGTAATATCTTAACTGTCGTCACCTTTGAAATTTTAGAAATGTACCAGTTCATATTGCACATTACTATTTTTGTCAGAAGCATATCTATGCAGTCTCTGTTGTAAATACCGATATAACCTACGTCATTTTTGAAATTTTAGAATTGTGCAAGAGTTGTTGTGTTCGGTTTTAATTGTATAAATTTAATTATTGTTATAGTTAAATCAGAATAGATTGATTTGATTAATTTTACATCATAATCATACTGATGAAGGATATCTGTTATCCGAAATATTTATAGATACTTACATTTAATATCTTTACTTTTTTTAATATTGGTGTTGTTTTGTACACTTTTTATGCGTTTATATATATATATATATATATATATAGACATTAATTGTCGAAATCCAGATATGGTGTACTAATTTGTACACCTTTTGTTTGTGGTATACCATCTTTTCCGCAAGTTTATTGTTTTCTGTTTGCTATTCAATTAATAGTAAAGATCCATTTTGTTACATCTGGTGATCCGTTTATTTGGCAACCGCCAATGACAGTCAGCAGGGTTTAAGAACATCCGTTGTTCGACCTGTCAAATGCGCTTTGTTAAAATATACTTTTTCCCTTTTTTTGGTCTTTTGGAAAATGTTGTTTGTGCTGTATTTAGACCCCTCTACCAAGAAATTTGTTTTGCATACACACGTATAAAAATTGGGTTTTATCCAACTCAATCATAGGATTGAACGTTGTTTTCAACTTGCCAAATAAACGGATCACCAGATGTAACAAAATGGATCTTAATTATTATTTTTTACCAAACATGTCGTAATGTTCTATCGTATTGTTTATTTGTGTGTTTCTCTGTCCTGTATGTTCTTCCATTTATTTGTATTGTAGTCCTGTCATGTAATGTTGACATTTTAGTGTTATATTTAACATTGCCATTAAAACGGGAGGTTTTGCTAGCCACAAAACCAGGTTCAACCCACCATTTTTTTCTAAAAAATGTCCTGTACCAAGTGAGGAAAATGGCAATTGTCATCGTATAGTTTGTTTCTGTGTCTGTTGCATTGTCGTTTGTGTTTTGTTCACTTCGTGTTTCTGTTTAGTTGTCGAAATGTACTATATTGTATTGTTTATTCGCGAAATTCTCTGCCCCGAATGTTCTTGCATTTATTTGTACTGCATTCCTGTCATGTAATGGTGTCATTTTAGTGTTATATTTAACATTGCCATAAAAGTGCGAGGTTTGGCTAGCCACAAAACCAAGTTCAACCCACCATTTTTTCTTAAAATGTCCTGTACCAAGTCAGGAAAATGGTTATTGTTATCTCATAGTTCGTTTCTGTGTGTGTTGCATTTTAGTGTTTCTGTTATGTCGTTTTTCTCCTCTTATAGTTGATGTGTTTCCCTCAGTTTTAGTTTGTAACCCGGATTTGTTTTTTCTCAATCGATTTATGAATTTCGAACAGCGGTATACTATTGTTGCCTTTATTTAGTATGTTATAAGCCAAATACGAGATTTTAGTCGAATCGGTGAACATAAATTTGACAGCTAATGCCCCTTAAACAACAAGTATTTATTGGTATTTACGTTACCATAAGAACCTCTGTTCAGTAGTTCCTTTGTAAGCAGAAACCCACTTTCTAGGAAACTATGATTTTAACATATTGAAGCTATGACTTAACTGGTTGACATACACTCCTTATTACAGGTTTCTCGAATGTTGCTTCATTTAATTTAAAAGTTAACGCGAAAATTGATCTATGTCTTTTGTCGAAAATTATGGTCCTCAAACAGCAGGCAATGTCCATTTCTAAGCGAACGTCAACGTTAGAATCAGAAAGACACTGTATATCTTCTCTCTTTTATTCCGTGATCAAGAGGATACATTGAATCACAATTTTACCATGCATTAAATTATAAAGTTAAAACATCATCTTTATTGGAGAACGTTGAGTAAATAATGGCTCTTTTTTGTCTACAGTCTGTTAAAAATACCCACGACCAACAAATCTGTGTTTTTTTTTAATATTTTCGGCGATACTCAATAACAGATCGTCTATTTTGTCAATTTTCAGTTTTTCAAAATGTTGCTCTTAGTATATAAGTTTAGTGGATAAGTTTAATTTTATCAAAGTTGTTACAAAAGCATGAAGTGTATATTAAAAAATAGTAATTTGCTTTTAACAAAACATTTTAACAGGAAAGATAAAAAAAAAAAAGTGGACCGCATGACATACCACACAAACCACCAACATCCGACTCATCCAAAAGATAAAGACGCACAATTAAAGACAACAAAATTGAACAACATATGGGCGATATAGATTGAGTGGTACAAGCACAAAATATTGTGGAGTAAAACCAGTGTGTAAAGCAAAACATCCCCATTTGCCTATCAAGATCA